GCCGTCCAAAGGACTGTAGATACGAAGAGAAACTGGGTTTCGATGAATCTCCTGAGATAGCATTGTTGTGTTAACGTGAGACTCTTACAAGAATGGCACCCAGCTCTGATGATGTCCATCATATGATGGATGAAAGCTCAGCTCGTTTTCACTAGAAACGAGGGAGAAAATCTCGTCGACTGCGTCAACCTGAACGTTGTATAAAAGCCAAACGGCTGCAATACAACAAGATTAATCCATCCCCAAACGAATCTCTCCTTCATGAACTTTCATACGAAATGAAAGTCCTCCGAACAATAAACTGGTCGGCTCAGTGATTGTTCTAACTTCACTCACACTAGTTAACATGTTAGCTTAAGCTCATCAACCAAACCAGACGTACGAGATTACACAGCCCTAGTCATCCCTTTCCTTGACGTTAAACGTTAATGACTCTAGACTGAGAGGTTAGGACATGAGGTTTCGTAACCTGATTTGCACACCTACAAGCTTACATCTCACTGCTTCAAACATAGTTGCTTACTGTGGCATGACTCTCCATTTTCGAAGAGAAAGTTGGCTGGAACGAATTCATGATGTGGCTTTAGCTAAAATCGAAGGAGGATTGCGGCGTAACGAAGACTGTTAATTGTGCGAAGAAATCCTTGGCTCCCCGTCCTGCGACCTCGATGAAACTGTGCTTAGCTTTCGTCTGTTCTGTGACAGACATTTGCAAGCATGCAGATTAAGGTTAAAGTAGCCAACCAAAGCATGGGATGCCGATCATTAAGATCGCGATATTATGTGTACAAAAAAAGCGGCTAGGATTGCGTCCGGCCACCTTTTCTCTTGGTTAAGTATATTTTTGCTCTATTTCGCAAAGTATGAAATCTGGTCCTGATTATGTCTTTCACCGTACAGACGAAAGCTTTGCACAGTTTTATTGAGGTCGTAGGACGGGGAGCCAAAGACTTCTTCGCACAACTTAACCGTCTTCCTTACGCCGCAATCATCCTTCGATTTCCGGTAAGACCACATCACGAATCCCTTCCGACTAACTTTCCCTTCGAAATGGAGTCATGCCACAATATTTCATTATGAAATTCTTCGAAAGCCAGTTTTTTTTCATGGTTGCTAACTGACTTAAACAGTCTCGATATAGGCCTTGATGATCAGAGCCTGACATTAGGCATTTTTTATCACTCTGATCCAGGACAAGTATTTCGTATAGAAGTTACCACACACACTCGAACAAAAGTAGCAGGACCAATATAAAAGATAATTATCCAAACCATTCTATAGCTATATATGCCTATTAATTTTCTTTTGCTTAGTTGAGCCTATATAAGAGGTAAGCTGGAGTCGGATAGTTTTCTTGACCTAGTGTTAACGTGAGACTCTTACAAGAATGACACCCAGATCTGATGATGTCCATCATATGATGGACGGAAGCTCAGTCTGTTTTCAAATGAAGCGAAAGAGGAAGTCTCGTGGACTGCGTCAACCTGAACGTCGTACTGAAGCTAAACAGCTGCAGTACGACGGGAATCATTCTTCGTCTTCTGATGAGATCGAGTTTCGAATCTCTTCTTCATGCCCCAACAAAGATATTCCTAATATAATATCATGTGAAGGAAACATATGCTCTTTGGCATGCCACACTTAAACCGCTTTTGGAACTCGATTTTGATGCGTTATTCTGTTTCGGTGAAAAAAGTTGAGCTTCTATCTGCCCTACGATGCACAATGTCAGAATTGGATATCTTTCTAAGAATAAATTTAAGTGAATCTAGCAAGGCTACATGGCTTATCATTTTCTAATCACCGTAGGGTATGACCAGCCTATTAAATATTATGTTCATAAACTTTTATGTGTGCATAAAAGTTGTCCTTTTAACTAAGTTATCTTAAGTAACGTAATCTCTATCAAGCTTCTTGCCTAGTTTCCTTTGAATATTTTATTCCTTATTAATGAGGGCTAGAAGATAAGTATTATAAATATACAGCTGTTTAAGCTTCTTAAGTCAGTTCCCTAGCTCAGTACTTACGTCATGGTAATTACCTTCCAGGCCTCTTTGAGAAGTTTTGTTTGATACTTTGTCTAATTTGGTAAGGGAACTATTTGTTTCGCGATGGGAAGCTAGAGAATGTTTCATATTCTTACTTTGTCATTTTTACTCTTTTTAAAAAAGCTGTTCTTATTCACATCTTCAGAAGCAATTGATACTTTTTAACCCTTTGCTAAATTCAAAGGAGATTTCCTACATATCATGGAATTCAGGCGGTCAAGAAATACCGTTTCATGCTTTTATTCTATTAATCAAAGGGTAATTGAATCAAGATGCCTGCAGCGATGACCGGACTCACCAGTGTTCTAATTGAGGGATGTCAATTGCAAAGCAGGAGACAGGGGATATGATGGAATTAGGTAATGATGGAAAAGAGATAGTTAATGTGTAGATCACCCACGAAATCAGGTTGCCTCAATTAATCTAGTCTCATATCAGTTCCAGTGCTCACACAAGTACAAATCATATGATTACATTATCGCTTGAGCCCACACATAAAGCTCATTAATACAGCCATGCAGACTTCTTCCTTTAGGCAGCCTCATTAATAAGTTCCCATGAGTTCAAGGTCATTATCATGTTTGTTTTATTATGGGGCCACATCATTTCTGATTAATCAAAGCTAGCCTTAGCTGTTTCCTATGTATACGAATAATTGAAGTACACATAAAAAAATGAATCTCAGTCCAATATTTGTATCTTAGCCCGCTCCCATACACACATGCTCACACATATTTGCATAGACTATCAACTTTACCCTATGACCCTGTAAACTCGAGATACGCCTATGCGAATAGCGGCAAGAGATAAGCTAAAGATAGTTATCACTTGTCTGATTTGTATTTAGAATAATAAATGTTTAGCAAATAATATTATTAAAACATACTCCCTATGAAACTCACTTTCATTTCGTCTTATAACTTCGAAATCAGCTAAAACATGCATACCATCTCAAGCTTTTGTTCCTTGTTCTCTTGGTTGAAAGTCGTCATTGACTTCCTCACTAGTCTCATCCCGAAATGACAATAATAATTACTTATCTATACCTAATCATAAGATTGAAGAGCTTTTCAGCTTGCAACTTTGGAAATGATGATGCATACAATGGACTCCGGACAAGGTGCGTTCCCCTAAGTCTTCCTATCAATGTGACCAAGTTTCGAAAACAAGGTCAAACAACTTCTATACAACGAAAGGAGACTGCGACCACACAAAAGGC